CATTCCTTACTGCTGCTCCTAGACCACAGTGCCTTATAGACTTAGTAAAGAAAATGAATACACTCTTCTGAACCACAGCTTCCCAAGGAAATGTAACTAAAAGGTACAATAAAATAAAATAAAATAAAATAAAAGGTACTAAAAGTCAAAGTTAAGTTTGCTAAATTTCCTTCAGAACACAGGGACTTAATAATTTATAAGGCTGCTCTATCTCTGGGTAAACTTTGTTTGGAAAGGTCCAGAGAGTAAATAGGCTTTGGGGGCCATACATTCTCTGTTTTGACTCCGATACTGTGTTTTGAATGCAGCCAGACAAGGTATAAATGAATGGATGTGGTTGCGTTCCAAGAGAAGTTTATTGGTAGTGGGCAGGATTTGGACACCAGCAGTATTTTGCCAGCCCTTGCCTTTCACCAGTGATTGATCTTTATCAAATAGGAACCCTCTACCCTAGCTGTACACTTATTTGAGCAAATATGGTGACACTGAAGGGACAACTAATAATTTCAGTATCATCTTACAGAAATGAATACTCTCAAAATTATTCACTAACCTTTTCCTATAAGTTCTCATAAAAGGAGCACATCCATTGTTCAAAATATAATTTTTAAAGAAAATGAAGATGAACACTAAGTAACTACTCTAAAAGGAAAATACAGAGTCTAGACATACTTTTATTCCTTATTCTGGTAATCAACACTGAGTATAAAAAGCCTACTAAATACATGGTCAAGAGTCATGACCTCACTACTTGAAACACAGAAGGAAACATTAAATGAGAACAGAGATTTGTTCTTTGGATCACTTACCAAAAACCTTGACTAAAAAACAAAAAACCTATACAGTTTTGCCAAAATAGTTTTAATTTAGAAAATGAAACCAAAAATCTCCTTGGCACATCATATCCACTTAATTTTAAAATTAATTTTAACACTTCACAGCCTGGTAAGGCAGAAATTATATTTTCAAGGCACAAAAGATGGCAGCCATTTTAATATAGCAAGAGCACGTGTGAGTATGTATTCACACTCTAAGCCATCAAGGCCACTTGTTCACAGAACACATTTGAGCTCTAGGATCGCTGAAATGAAAAAATGTTCCACTGCTTACAGAAATATTGAATGTTATACAGAACAGCAAGGAATAAAATTAAATAACAAAGGCACAGAAGACCCCTTGACACCAAAGGCACCATCCGTAAAAGGAAAAATTGATAAACTGGACCTCATCAAAATTAAAGACTTTTGATCTTTGAAACTCCCTGTGAAGAGGATGAAAAGACAAGCTACAGACTGGGAGAATATATTTGCAAGCCACGTACCTAACAAAGGACTAGTATTTAGAATATATAAGGAACTCTCAGAACGCGACAGTACAAAAAAAAAAAAACTAACAAGAAAATGGACAAAATACATGAACATACATCTCACCAAAGAGGATACAGAGATGGCAAATCAGCACATGAAAAGATGTTCAACATCATTAGCCACTGAGGAAATGCAAATTAAAACTGTGACAAGATAACGCTAGACACCAATCCGAATGGCTAAAACAGAAGACAGTAAGAATGGCAAATGCTGCAAAGATGAAGAGCCTTCATACACTGCTGGCGGGAGCACAAAACAGTACAGCCACTCTGGAAAACTGTTAGGCAGTTGCTTTTAAGAGGAAACACGCAACTACCTTACCACCAGCAACGGCACTCTTGGGCCTCTACCCCAGAAAAATGGAAATTTGTGTTCACACAAAAACCAGTACACACTCGTTCATAGGAGCTTTATTTATAATTCGTTCAGAACAAAAACCAGGAAACAACCAGATGTCCTTCAATCGGTGAATGGTGACACAAACTGGGGCATATCCACACCATGGAATACAACACAGCAAAGGGGCATGTATACACACCGAATATGACTCAGCAATGAAAAGGAACTAACTGGATACAAGATAGACTCCCTACAAGAATCTCCAAGGAACCACCCTAAATGGAGGGAAAGAAAAAAAAAAAGCCCATCTCCAGAAGTTACATACTGTATGATTCCATTTATATAGCATTCTTGAAATGATGAAATTATAGGCATGGAAAATAGATTAGTGGCTGCCGGGGATCAGCGAGGGAGGGAGATAGCTGTGGCTATAAAAGGGCAACACCAGGGATCCTCATGGTGATGCAACTGTATCTTTACCCTGGAGGTGGTTACATGCATTTACCCATATGATAACACTGCACAGAACTAAATACACACAGGCAAATGAGTGCACGGATAACTGGTGATCTCTGAATCAGGTGGATGAATTGTATCTATTTCAATTTCTTTGTTGTGGTATTATACTACAGCTGTGCAGATGTTACCACCGGGGAAAATGAGAGGAAGGGTATTGTTTCTTAGAACTGTATGAGAATCTACAGCTACCTCAATATGAATGGTTAAAAGACAAAGAATGAAAAAGAGTATAGAACACCAGCCAGTGATAGGAGTGGAAAAATCAAGCTTTTATTTTTGCTACGTCTCAGGAATTGAAAGTCAAGGAAGGGAGAGAAAAGGAATGCCAGGAAGAGAAGCTACAGGCTACAATTAATACAATCATCTCCTCCTCCCCTATGGAGCTGTGAGGTCCCCAGGATTTTGTTTATGTCCCTGATTTGAATGCTGTCGTTGCTGTTAATAAAAATAAACTGTATATACATCTATCTCTTCACAACCCTCCCATAACCATCCCAGACTATAAAGTCATAAAGATGGTCTTCTTCACCATCATGTCCTGGTGGCCTGGCACAAAATAAGTGACAGCTGAAGGAACGAGATAAGCTCAATGAGTGATAAATGAATGAATGAGATGCCAGCATAGTCTTCAAAGTTCCTAGTCAATTACAGTTACAAGGCAGTAGGCAGCATGTACACATTCACTTTCAAACTTCTAAAAGCCACGGACATTTTTTAAAGAGTGTGGTATGCACACATTTCACTTGCAAGCAGAAGTTAACAATACCTGACTTTTGTAAAATGCTTCTCAATTTAAAGACTTCCACATATAGTCTCCACTCATTTGATAAGGATGAATTAAGAATTGTGCACACATACACTGGAACAAATATATGCAGATCTTTGAAAAAAACATGCTAGACAACTGGTATAACTAAGAACTTACAGCACAGCGTTAATGCAACTTACGTCATATGATCACATATACAGATTCATTATATATGTATTTTTTTCAGTAGAAGAACAAAGAATTCAAATTAGGGGGCTTATGGCTCACTCTGCCAATCATCACAGCACTTTTACAGATGCAAAAATGAAGAGAGGCTAAGTGAGTTGTTCAGGGTTATACAATTAGCTAGAGCTGGATCCAGAGCCTCTCCAGAGCCCCAATTCATTTCTCCTCTTATTGAATTGGGCAAGACTCTCCTTTCTCCTCCACTTATCCCACCCCTACCCGAAACACAAACAAAAATGTTCATCTGAATCACTTATTTTTTTTAATAGGGTTTTCAGGGGGAAAGCTTTTAATTGTTGCATTACACCTTCCCACGGATTTTTTAAGTGTCAAATTACTTCCCATATCAGAACAAAATGGTACTTTATCCTATGGTGCAAGTATACTAACGGTCTACTGTCATCCTCCACCTAAATGGTGGCGAGGGTGTTAATTCTAACAGGAGTCTTACATGTCTTACACTATAGTGGCTTCAGTTGAAAAAGAGAGCTACTTTACAATTCAAGGAAGAGGCCTTATGCCATAAAAAGCCTGACTGATATGCTCGTTGACGGTACTGTAATTGAATCGCCACTTGCGCACAGCCTTATGTATCAAGAACAGTTACAACTATTACAGGCAAAATCCAAGAAAAACTAAAGTGACAAAGCAACTACCGGGAAATGGGGTTTTATTTAGGTTAAATCTCCATCACGCAATATGGAACTAAGCATGAATTTAGAAGTCCTAGAATCAAAACACTAGAGGAACCTTATTTGTGCTCTAGTCCAACATCCTCATTTTTGTACATGAACTGAGGCGTCAATTTAGCCATTAACCAATAAAGCAGACTGCTTATTACTCTGTCAAAGGGATTCATTTTTCAAATGCCATTTTGCCCTTATTCTGCATCTCACCGTCATTTCTTGGAGCAATGACTGATTATTTTGAAGGTGAGACAAGAGCAAAATTCATTTCAAGAGGGTGGAAAAATGCCTTTCAAGGAGGAGATGCTGGAGTGCAGAGGAGAAATGACGTCCTATTTAAAATATGTAACCCCTTGATGGGGGTTCAGCAATGAATCATATTCTCCTCGATTTTTCTATGTGCTATAGACATTGGCCGCAATTATTTCTGTAGGGTACTCAACTGAGAGGAAGAGGAAGTGAATAAAGCTAATGCTAAATATACAGCATTCGTGAGGACAGGGATGTAGATAGAAAGAACAGGAAAAAAATACAAGCATGCTTCTGCTAGAATTCAGTCGTTTTCTAACATACCTAAAAATACGGAAGCTAAAAGGATAGCGGAAGCCAGGGCATCCCTCAAATCCAAAGGGCGGTTGCTGCCAGGGCCAGAGAGATCTCCTAGCCCTCGGAGCCAGACCGACCCGGAGGGGACAAGATGGTGTTGAGGTCTAGGGGCGCCCTAAAGGTCGTTTGGAGGTCTGGCGAGCACTTGAGGCGCTTCTTCGGAAAGGGTCGCGGCAAAGCACAGGAGCCCTGTCGGGAGGATGCTTCTGGCCCTCGCGGGGTGGGGGGCGGTGGGCCGCAGGAAGAGAGGCAAGCCGGGCTTCAACGGAGAAGATGCAGAGACCCCGGGAAACCTTCCCGGCCCCCCGGGGAGGGGATGCAGGTGGGCAGGTAGTTGGGCAGGTAGCTGGGCCGGGCTCCAGGAGAAAGGGAGCCCATTCCGGGAACTGGGACGTCCCCTCCACCTCCGCGGGGCTCAGGTGTGGGACGGCGGGGCCGCCGGAACTCGGGCGCCGACTCCGGCAGGGGTCAGCAGCTGGGGCTACTCACCGGAGACGCGGCCCACGGTGTCTTCGCAGCCGGCCCGCGCCTGGCAGTCGGGAAGCCTGCGGAAGAGCCGCGTGCCCGCTAGCGCTGGGGCGAGGAGGGGCGCGCCGCGGAGGCCGGAGAAAAAGCCGCAGCGACGCGCGCGCACCCGGAGGGCCGGCGGAGGCGGGACGAGGCGCGGCGCGGCGCGGCGCGGCGCGAGCCCGGAATAGACGCACCCGGAGGGGCGGGCGGAGCGGGGGCGCGCGGTGGTGTGGCTGAGCCGGCCGAATCGCGGGCGGCCGACGTCTCGGCCCACCCACGCTCACGCCTCCGCTCGCCCCAGACGTCAGCCGCGGAGGCGGGGCCCAGCGGGCTTCGCCAGGCGAAGGAGGGGCACGGCGGGCGAACCGCGTCGCCTAACGGCTCGTCGCAGCCTCGCCGCAACCTCTCGCTCCGGCTTCTGTGCCGCCGGGCGGGCCGGCCGGTCACCTTATCGAGTGTGTTTTCGGAAGGGCCTAGCGCCTATCTGATTTCAGAGAGGTTTGGAGCGCTCCCACGCCCGCACCTGTGCTCGCTTCCTAGGACTCAGCTCCGAGAGGAAAGTTCCCCTCGGGTCATCTTCCAGCTGCCCTTTAGAGATATTCATCTTTGGACTTCTACTCTTTTTTTCAGACGGAGATTCTAGTCTTCGATTAAAGGCATCCTGCTCCTCCAAGCCTGAGCTACTGCCCCCGGTTCCTCTTACCTCGCCTCTCACTGCGTTAAGACCCCCGCTCCCTCCCGTTCGTGAAATATCACAAGGATGCCTGGGGGGGGGCGGGGTTCACTTGATGCCTTTCCTTTCCACCCCGGGGTCATGGCCAAAGAGCCCACAACTAATAAGGAGAAGTCCCTGCAGCATTGTGACAGTTCACTGGCCACGATCGTAGCTTAGGAGCCAGCCCTACAAAGACCATTCCCAAGAGATTCAAGAAATTGCTGTTAAAAGTAAGATTCTGGTGAACTGTCCCGACTGCAAAAGGGACAGACCATAATTGTAAATGAGCCACGACAAGCTGCCAAGAATGTATCACCAGAAGAAGTAAAGCACCAATATTCTTCCAAGTTCCCTGATGCATAATGGAGGACTAGCTTCCTCTTCCAGCTAGTAGTGGACATTTCATTTCTCTTGCTGTTTTCCATCTTCCCATAGAATTACACATGTGTGTGTCACCCCTTCAGATTACAGACTAGAGTCGTTCTTAAGCTTCAGTATGCATCCAAATAATCTCGGGTGCTTGTTAGAATATGACTACATCAAAAACTAATGATGTAGGGCGCCTGGGTGGCTCAGTTGGTTAAGCGACTGCCTTCGGCTCAGGTCATGGTCCTGGAGTCCCGGGATCGAGTCCCGCATCGGGCTCCCTGCTCAGCGGGGAGTCTGCTTCTCCCTCTGACCCTCCTCCCTCTTGTGCTCTCTATCTCTCATTCTCTCCCTCTCAAATAAATAAAATCTAAAATAAATAAATAAAATCTTAAAAAAAACCTTTAAAAAAATAATGATGTAATGAATGGTGACTAACATAACATAATAAAATAAAATTTAAAAAAATATGGGTGCCTGGAGCTACAACCTCCAGATACTGTGGTTAGGATCTGAGTGGGTCTTAGAAATTTGATTTTTTAATAAGTATCCCAGGTGACACTATGCGTGGTCGGAGGCCCACAGTTGGAGAGCATAGAGCTACAGCTCTTGTGTGTTACTTACTCTGAAGTGGGATTACTCAGCCAATTTCCAAAAGGCCCACCCACCTACCTATAATATGCCTACAAATATTACTATGGCAGTCAAGAACTTCCTTTTTCGAGATTGACCTAGAAAGTTCAGGACTTCAAACAACGAGTTTGTCGTGTTTATTTTATGAGATCTTGTTGTAATACCAGAAATAAGTAATCATTTGTCAGCTATATAATTCACTGGGTACCTGCAGTGTACAGAGCACTGTCATCCATAACAGCGTTAACACAAATGAAATAGAAGGAATGATCATCCCTGCCCTCAACAAATTTAGTGTCTAGTCATGGAATTAAAACACAGACACAGGACAGACCCAGTGTAGCACATAAGTCAATCCATTGGACCGGGAAGAAAAAGAACTTACAATTAAAGAGTACTTTTGTTGGGGCGCCTGGGTGGCTCAGTCGGTTAAGCCTCTGACTCTTGATTTCCAATCAGGTCATGATCTCAGGGTCCTGATATCAAGCCCCACGACGACCCTGCATTGGGCGTGGAATCTGCTTGAGGATTCTCTCTCGGCCCCTCTCTAAAAAAATAAATAAAGAGTACTTTTGTCCATTTTCTTCACTGTCATTTAGCCCAGACCTCTTCAACTAGGTAATCTCCTCTGAACACTGAGCCCTTAACTTACTGAAGTTGCTTCAACTTTAAAAGGTACCAAGGAAAGAGCCTGAAGCTATCAGTTTTTGTTGGTATGTATGACTTTGTATACATACATGCCTCTGCATGTACCTATGTGTATAATGTAGATATAGATCTATTTATCAGATCCAGAAACTCTTTCAGTTTTTCAGGATCTTTATCACTTAAGTTATTTATTAACGCAGACAGTTCTGGCTACCTTTTTTATTATTATTATTATGTTATGTTAATCACCATACATTACATCATTAGTTTTTGATGTAGCGTTCCATGATTCATTATTTGCGTATGACACCCAGTGCTCCACGCAGAACGTGCCCTCTTTAATACCCATCACCAGGCTAACCCATCCCCCCACCCCCCTCCCCTCTAGAACCCTCAGTTTGTTTTTCAGAGTCCATCGTCTCTCATGGTTTATCTCCCCCTCCGATTCCCCCCCTTCATTCTTCCCCTTCTGCTATATTCTTCTCCTTCTTCTTCTTCTTCTTCTTCTTCTTCTTCTTCTTCTTCTTCTTCTTCTTAACACATAATGTATTATTTGTTTCAGAGATACATTACCTTTTATCATAGACCATATCTCCCCTTTGCTCTACAGTGAACCACACCCAGGACGAAGACAGAAGAAATGCTACATCTCCAAAAAGGAAACCAAGTGGCTCCATACAATTTCTAGCTTTCCTTTCTCACTTTTTCAAGGTCAAAACAAACCTTGTTTAACTTCTTGTCATCAGAAACCCTCCAGCACTCCTCCTACCCAGGAACAAAACGGTCCCCTAGCCAGCTGCCTGGCATTTTAGAGAGAACATTTGCACAATTGTTTACCAGTTAGGAAAATAGGGGATTACTATCACTATTTTACAGGTGGAGAAATAGATCCAGGTTTAAGGACTTGTCCAGTCCCCCCAGCTAACTAGTAACAGAGCCTGGATTTCCTACCACGGTTCTCGTGACTGCTGGATGACGGCATTGGCCACGACATCAGGCTTCCTCCGAATGAAGTCTTACCCAGGACTGCCAACCCAATTAGAAACCGAAGAGATAAACATGGAAATGGAAAACAGGAAAACAGACGGTGCGGTCGACAGATTCAAACTACAACATAAAAAGCAAGAAAAGCCTGAAAAATGAAGCTGTTTGAAACCGAGTGGAATTAAACGCGACAACTCCGTTAGCTGGTACTGATACTCAGGCCTTGCTCACTTTACTCTCCTGCCCTAAAAAGCTGAAACTGATAGCCAGGCTGCTCCTGGGCATTAGTAATTCATGGGAGGGCAGAAAACAACTGTTCTTCATTGACCGTGTAACAAGCTTTTGCGTGTTAAACATATTTCACAGGTTTATAAAATAATAACTTCCTCCTGTGGTCCAACTACAAGCAGCGGGACTTTACAATAATGTTTGCATAGACAAGTTACGTTATGCTTTGCCATTAGCAAGGCCTTCTTTATTTCAGGCCCAATCACCAGGCCAAAGACTGTCTTCAATGGCGTGTGTGAAACAACCAGTGAAATCAGAAACCTAGACAGGAGGTGATCTTACTGTGAACATAAATAATAACCCAAGCTCCTCTATTTAAAACTGGTCAGAGGTGTAGTAGTTAGATCTAGATGTTGTTGTTTGAGAAATGATCCTTTTATCTTTCCAAAGAACTATTTTTCATTCCTGCACATTGGACAGGTTTTTATATTCATGGAAAGACCAAAGCAAAGGGAAAGACACCCCATGCGTCTGAATGGAAAGGGATAGGATTATAAAGACTCAATTCTTCCCAAATTAATCGATAAAATCCCGTGCAGTCCAAAGCAAAATCCCAGCAGGGTTTTAATGGAACTTGACTTCAGTGTCTCTTACTAATTCCTTCTTCGTCCTTTTAAAAGTGAACTCCTATCCCCTCTAAATAAAATCCTCCAGTGTCCTTGCAAATTGTTTTAGTAACCTCCCCAAAAGGGACAGAAAGAACAAAATATTCAGATTATCCCTAGGGCAGGAGGCAAATGAAATGGGCGGTGGGTGTCATGGGAACGGCATGGAAATTACCTTCAGTATATTTTTGTCCACTTTCTGTAGTCATTCTAGCCCAATAATGTTAGGGGAAAAGAAATGTCATCGGGGGCACCTGGGTGGCTCAGTCGTTAAGCGTCTGCCTTGGGCAAGGGTCATGGTCCCAGGGTCCTGGGATCGAGCCCCGCATCGGGCTCCCTGCTCAGCGGGGAGCCCGCTTCTTCCTCTCCCACTCCCTCTGCTTGTGTTCCCTCTCTCGCTGTGTCTCTCTCTGTGTCTATAAATAAATAAAATCTTAAAAAAAAAGAAATGTCATCAGTATCATAACTCATATTCAATCTCTCTTCCTTTTCCTTTCCCTTTCATATACAAGAACATTCGATTTCATCTTCCATTCTTAAAAGACAAGGCAAATAACGACCATTTTCAAATGTCCCTTACTCGGAATCATTGACTACTAGAGCTGGGAGGCCACTCAGAGGCAGACTAGCAGCATGGAGACCATGTGGGCTTTGGACGTGGACCACCCTGGACCCAGTTACATAATGTCTTCAGAGCCTCAGCCTCCTCGTCTCTAAATTGGGGCTAATAATGGTCCCCCCATCAGGGCTCTTCTGAGGGAGGATTAAATGAAACCATGTTCATAAAAAGCCTGGTTTATGACAAGTGTGGAGAAAACAATGGCTATTAATTACCAAGTTTGACCTCTTCATTCTATGGATGAGAA